GACTTCATAGCTGAAGTGCCTCATAGGTCAGTTTTTACTATCTTTGGTAAAGTATTTACATTATATCGAAAAAACATAGCTGTCAACATTTTCAATTTTTGCCATCATTCTTAAAATCTGCCTTTCAAAAAAAAAAAGGTTTGGAATAGATTGATCAAAATCAACTTTTTAATTTGAAATGTTAATGTTGAACTGATGATTGTAGGCTGTTCAAATTTTTTTAACAACTGGATGTACAGCACAAGGATATGGGATCATCAAAACACATTTTCTGTCCCAAATAGCTAATGCTTCAGCAATGCCACAGCCCTCATGCAGTGCATGCTCAAATGGCATACAATGTATACTGAACATGGCATGGGACCCATATCAAACACAACAGCACAATGATGGCATGGTGATGCATCATGGGAATGTCTTCACTCTTGCTGAATATGGATGAGTGGTATAAAAAAATGAGCAGCATCGCTATCTATTGAGGAGCATTCTGTTGGGCTTCACGTGCTATATCACGCACGCTCTGAAGTTGTTCGTCAATTTTCCGCCTTCTTTCTTCATTGACACGTAACCTTTCTTGTAGATGTAACATACTGAAATAGAATTATATATAGATATCATCAACATGCCAAGTTTGATCAATATTTGCTGTTTTAGAAGTTAGTGAAAATGATGGCAAAGGACAGAAGCAAGAATCTCATGCAATTACAGTCTTCTTTTCAAGCTGCACCAAACTAAAAATATGTCTCTGGTCATTTTTTTTACTAAAAATTATTTCACAAATGATTTTTATTTTAATACTGACTTCCATCAATGACCTCACAATATGACCTTAAGGTCACAACTGTAATTTTGATAAATTAGTGTTGATGGTGTGATTTTTTCAACACTTGTAACCACCAGAACCTAATTTTCAAAGGTACAATATCAACAATAGTAGTTGACAGCCAATAAGCTACATTCACAGCATTGTGACTGCACATATTATTCTGGATCAAACAAAGACGACTTACTAGTCTTCAGGATTCATGGTACTATCTGGAGATGAAGATTTGAATGGCGTAACCATGACGTCTTGAGGGCTTCGCTCTTCAACCTGATCCTTACTGGGTTTGAATGGTGAAATTGGTGAACTTAGAGTTGTGTTGTAGTCTTTAAAAAAATCAATAAATAAATAAATAAATAAAATACTATTAGTTTACTGATATTCTGTAGATAAGGTGAAGTGTAGAAGTAGCTTGAAAAGTTGACCACTTGTTATACGCCAGTCTATTAACACCTAGAACTTATGTGGTGCTCTATTCACTTTACACCTTACTAACACCTAGAATCTGTAGAAGCTGTACATCTAAAATCTATGAGGCGCTGTGCACCACTACACAATGTTCCACTCATTATACAGCAATCCACTCACTGTACACCACTCCGTTAATGTCTAGATATCTATGGCCAGTTTAAATGTCACACGCACTTAATAGTGATGACATAAGTATTATTCATTCATTGGCCAGTACAAATACTGCATGATGGGAATTCACTCATAATCTCATATTCAACTCATCTAATCTATATATGCCATGAGATATCACTAAGTGTCGTAACTAGGTGTAACTGAAGTAGAGACTGCATAAATTGTCCATAAACATTAGACAAGGGACTTTTTCACAGTTTGTCTATATAATGAATCATTGTATTTAACCATTTAAGCACCAATTTGCTAAAATTTGCATAAATTTGTGCAGTTTCTGTAATTTTCATTGAATTCAACCTTAATTTTGAACCAAACAGACAAAATCTGACATTACTTCTAGCTTTTGATCAACAAATTTTAAAATTTTCACAACATCTCAGATGGAAATGAGCAGACTATAAATGGAACTATTTTGTGAATGGAGCCAGAAGTTGACTTTGGCTTTGGTTAAAGAAAAAAAATTCAATAACCAGGATAAATTATAATAGTGGGACTTATAATTTATGAAAGCTTATGAATGACTCACTTGTTGGAGATGTTTTCTTGGTATCATCAATATTAAGATGTGGATGAGAACTTGACCTTGTGAGTCCGTACTGCGGTGGCGATCTTTGCATGCTACCTGGTGGCGATACGTAAACTGATGGTGGCATACATTTTGTTGGTGAACCGGGCATAGAATGTGAAGCGTGCAAAGATGATCCACTCGACAAATAACCATGATCCAAGCTTTTCTGCGATGTTGGCGCTTCAACTGGTTGACTGAATGTACGGAAGTGATTCCTTGATGGCGTGCTGGGTGCTGAACTGATTTCCTGTCTTGCCATCTGCAGCATACTCTGAAACGAATCAGGTTCTGGCTCCACTCGACCCTTGGTGTATGGTTTTGATGCAAGCAGATCCCCAATGCTACTATGTGAAACAGACATATGAGAGTATGGTAATGGTTGTTTGAAATAGTCTCTTGTTGTGATGTTTCCTGCGTCACTGCGTAAATCACTCACGCCAGACATGTTAAGTTGTGAGTGATCAGCCAAGGAGTAATCAGACGTGGCTCTTCGTAAGTTCGTCCGCGGTGATGAAGTCATTGAGAAGCTCATTGGTTGTGGAGTTGGCAGAGTTGGGCCTAGCGTTGGTAACAATGGTGGCATGCTTTGTGCGAATCCAGACGTTGATGGAAAATAAGTTATGCCTCGATGATGAACTTTCTCGATTTCTCATCCCAAATGTTGCCCTTTCGTACCCAGAAATCTTGGCATTTAGACGAGCCACCTCTGCCTCCTGTAATTCACAATAAAGAAGATGTTTTTTTTAACATTCAGTCATCTTGTATCTGATCATCAAACGAGTACTTGTCCATAACAAAGGATATTGCTATGGAATAGTAATATTAAAAACAAAATGGCCACCAGTCGGTCACTTTGAATACATCTGTATGTCTATGATGTATAATGAATATAAAAAATTTAAGATAATCAGTCAAAGCATGTCAGAGATATGGCTCTAGAACCGCATTCATTAAAACAAAATGGCGGCCAGTCAGCTATTTTTAATCCAATCTGAAAAACACAATGACATGCATCAAGGTCGCATAATGTCTAATGTATGTACCAAGTTTGAACAAAATCCATCTGTAAACAGCTGAAAAATGCTTGAGTTTGATGATTTTTCAGTACAAAAAAGGCTGCCATTCGGCCATCTTGAAACAGATCGTGAAAAAAATTGATGTGCATGTATAATATTATGTATGATGTATGTATGAAGTTTGAATGTAATCGGTCCAGGCATGTCTATGATATAGGTCCAGACTGAGGAAACACAGACGCACAAACGCACAGAGGTCAATTTATAAGTGCCTATTTTCGGACTGCATCCGAACAGCAACTAATAATTGACATTTGAAAAACAACAACATTGAGCACTCACCTTAATCACAATGGCTTCATTCGCAGCTTCAACTACTTCTTTTCTGGCCCGTAGTTCATTTTCCAAACTTGTCAGTTTATCTTCAGTAGTCTGTAGTTGCTGGGTAATATGCTTGTTTCTCTCTTCAAGTTGCTGAGAGTGTAATCTGTGGTTGGTTTCTTGTTGATTCTTGGCAGCTAGTAAAGTACTGTGACTTTCTTGTAAACTGGAAATCTAAAATTCAGAGAGAAAAGCTTATTACAGAAATATTAAATTTTACTGTGGCTAGTCTGATGGTATACATAGCCGCATGTGGCAATGGTTGATATAGGGTCAAAGGTTAAATTAACAATAATCCTTATCCTATCTGAAAGTTTTTTATGTGTGCGTGATATTCAGTTTGACTGCGTCAACAACTCAGTGACGCCATTGGCGTTAGTTAATGTCACGACCAAACGGTCAGCAACTCACTGACTCCATCGCTTGTATATGTGCATGAACCAATCGATCTTCATGCTTTGAGTGTTTCAAATCAATGTCTGATAGATAAATATTTATTCTGTCTTTCGTGATTATTACAAGACAAAATAATGAAATAAACAAGTAATTGCATAACATAGTCCCTGAATGGCCATAACATGTCAGAGATAAGAATCCAGAACTGCATTCATTAAAACAAAATGATATGCATCCAAGTCCCATGATGACTATGTACCAAATTTGATCGAAATCTGTCCATACACCAAAATGACTGTCATGTTCATAGTTGTGACATATATATAAAGTTTGAACATAACAAGTCAGGGTATGTCCGAGATGTGACTCCAGAATAGTATTCATTAAAACAAAATGGCCATCATTCGGCTATTTTGAATCCCATCTGGGAAACAAACATAGTTGAACTCTGGTGACCTTGCCCTTTGTTATATAATATTATTCCCTTTATCATAGTTTGTTTCAATATGAATATGCATTGTCATAATTAATTTTGAATACAAACAAGATTTGGGTTTGAAACAACAGTGGGAAAGCAGTCTACCGAATATCCTTGATAGATGTAAATATCTTACAAAAACATTGGTGCCTAATTTGTTTAATTATTTTAAGATACATAATTTCCAGCTTTATTTAAAGTAATTAAGATATTATAGTATAAAAACAAATGCCTCATCTCAGAAAAAAAGTGCTGAATTTAGACGTGAATAGATTCATAAATCATGCAAGATACCAGAAAATCTTAGCTGGCTTTTGTCCAAGTATTTTGTACAGGTGTCTGTCAAAAATTAATGATTATATTCATTGTGTGACTACTGTATTATTTGAAAAGTAAAAAAAAAAACACCCTTTATGAATAGCTATCTGTTGCAAGCTCTGCTTTGTATGCAAATCAACTTAAATAGTTAGTTGGTGTCCAGTGGAGAGAGAAGTCAACAGTATTGTTGCCTCCTGAGAATCTACATCTTCAAACACTGCAATCTTTGTTTTTGAAGTGCGTGTTTAAATTATTATTATAAAAGCTATCATTCTGTTCTAATAGCTGAAACAAATTCCTGTGAATTTTCATTTGTTGAATGGACTGTTTGTCAAATACAATTGAGTACAATTTTCTTTTCAAAATGTGGATGCAACGTTTTGCTTTTCATGCATTTTTTTTGATTTAATAACTTTGGACTAAACAGATTTTCTATTAGCTTCAGATCTTGATCAAAGTTTGGCTTCCAGGTCATAGGAGTGCTTATATTGATTTTCTGACATCTTGTTTTCTGTAAAAATTTTAGGTTTGCAAATGTGTATCAGACTGTGCAAAAACTCTCTCCATGAGTTGGTTTTGAAACCCAGTCTAGTATTCCCATGGGATTTTGGAGATACATTACCAAGGATATTATTACAAGATAAATGATTTGCTTCATTGAACACAGACAACAATGCATATTTTCACTGAGATCAGTGACCTTTGAATGTGTATCACCAGTGATCAGTCAAGTAGAAACAGTCAAAATATTTTATCAGATTTTCTCAATTTTTGCATGATATTTTTTATACAGGATATCCGTCGTTCATACTCAGGGAAGGTGACCAAGTTTGATAAAGTTTGTAATAGAATTAGTAAATTTATTGTGCACACAATAACATTTATTAACAACGTCGACAACAATGACAACAACAACGACGACGACAACAACGACAACACCAGACAGAAATTATTCCCTTAAAATACCTTTCCCTTCCATCTTTGATGTTACGGGCAAGGTAAAAAGACGTGCAGCAAGGTCCCATAATGTCTGATGTTTGTAGCAAGTTTGAATGAATCTGTGCATACATGACCAAGATCTAGATTC